CGCGTTTTTTAAATTGAAGATTAAATTTGAAATTACGCATAATGACTAAAAAGAATCTTGGCCCTTGTTCAGTTCGTAATTGCCAAATAAATCCAAAGCATTTCGTGGAATCACCGATTATGCACTTAAAAAAGCAAAAGAAAAAGGCACATTTAGTCAATATAGTTACTTAGAAATCGGAAAGCAATTATGCTATTCTCATTATCTTGAGATTATTGAACCTGATCGCCATAATGTAAAGAAATTGCCAACCAATAATTTACAGGATAATGTCATTACAAAATCATTATCATTTGGTGATAAAATGGCTTTAATGACTAAAGTATTATATAACAAGCAAAGAAAAGAGAATCAAATGCTTGAATTGGATCTGGACCATTTTCAAACAATGCTTGAGAATACAGAGCTGTTGCTAAAAGGATTTTTTGATGAATTATACGATGCATTTACTCCAGAAAGACAGTCTGCATATAATAAAAAAGAAGGTAAAAAAAAAATAGTTAATATATGCTATTCAATAGCAGCAATACGCAATAGGCTCATAAACAATTATCCCTTAGAGATCAGGTTATATCTTGCAGCATCTGGTGCATTATGCGATGCTATTGATACAATGCATAAAGCTGGTATGTCAGTTTGCTATAAAACTGTTGACAATTATAGAAAAAAGATAGTAAGTGAATATACAAAAATATTCGAAACTATTTTATTGAAAAAGTAAGTAAAAATTAATAGAAATATGAACACAATGCCATAACTTGTCATAATTATAATGAGTTACGGCATTTTTGCCATAGCTTATTATAATTACGACAAGTTACGGCATTGTATTCACAATTCTAAAAGTAATCAGAGTCCCATAACTAAGTGCAAACATTGTTTATATCGATTTCCTAAATTTAAACAATAATAATTAATACTTTTTCATTAGAATAATAGCTTTTTTGTCTACAATATTAACGATTACCATAACATACATGGTATAAGACGTTCTGATAATGTGGTTCTCTCGGCTCCAATTTATTTTGCTACATATGTTAGCAAAGAAATTTCAAGCTGTGCACCGATACCAATAAGCTACAATGGTATCTCAATTCATAATCCTGTTAATATAGACGTATCCTTGGTTTGTCTTCATTTAATTACACAATATCGTGGAATTTTTGACCTTTCGTATATACAAAGAAAGAGTCAGTGGTCTACCTCACAAAAAATAAATATAAATTTTGATCAAATCGAGCTTCTAACTATTCATTGTTACAATGATGCTATAAGTGAAAAAGAAAAAGAAAGAAATATAGAAGAAGTGAGGCTAGTCAAAATTAAAGAAAGTAATCTTCGTTCACTCGAAGATTACTTAAATGCGTTAAAAAGAATTCTTCTAATAAATAAAGATATTGGGCGTGAAAATAATTATGTAATGCTAATCATCGCCGACTGGCCTGGACAACTCTTCATACGAAAAGCAATAACTCACCTGCAACAAAATACAAATTCATATATATCAGCAGCTATTAATTCTTTTATACCTATATTAAGTCCGTTGCATATTTCATTGAATAGTCGAGAGCAAGTTTTGATAATTTATTATTCTTTTTTTAAGAAGCTCTTTCATGCAATTTTTGGTGAACGGAAGGTTCTTGCAAAAAAGCCAAAACCATGGAGAATAAATCTTCTCCTTGAACTTGCTTACCAAGGATGGCTAAAAATAAAAAAAAAAATACTTGAAAAATTCAGAACTATATGCAAGGACATAGAATACAG